AAGCCATTCTATAGACCATATACGCACGCATTACGCCACTACGATTCTGAATGGAAGTCGAGTGCGGGGGCGCATCCCTCAGACGGGATTGATTAACGCCAAAAATTTATTCTCTATCCTTTAAACCCTTGACCATCTTGTCCCTGCTGTTTTACTGGGTGAGGTTACCGGACCACTAGGTCTACGATTGCCAAACCTTTGGTAATCCTACATATATAATCTGCTGTTTCTGTTGGTGTTTTTCCGACCAGAAATTCAGACTCCTATCTAATTGGATCACAAAAACGAAAATTCATCCGGCATTCGGCTCTTACAGTAATCCGACACGTGTTTAAACCAAATCTTCACCCGTTACATATACAACGCGTCGAAAAGGGGTCTTGGGCAAGGACACGGGGGTGGGTAGTGGGCAAACCAGGGGTTTACTGTAAGAGCCGAGTGCCGGAATGAATTTTCGTTTCTGTAACTGGACCTCGAGCATTCAAATTTGGAGTACGGCCGGCAGCATGGGAACTCTTATGGCGGCTGGTAGGACTGGACCCCGCCCAAACTGCATAGCTTGCGCGAAAATACTACTTTGGGCCTAGAGCGCTTAACTCTGGTAGGAGTACGCGAGACAGGGTCACCGATGGTGGATGGAAAGTCACGTCTGCACCCGCGTGGGCGTACCGTGCGTAAAATGAGCTTAGCGAAGGTGCGCAGTCAGGTCGAAAAAATGAAATGAACCAACTTACTTGAACAAGTCGAGCACAACTTCGCTCATGACGGACGCGACGGCACTCGCGAAATAAGGTGTGTGTGTGGGTGTGTTTAGCCAAGAATTTTCACCTTCTGTTCTACTGTATCACTACACCCGAATTTTGGTGGGAACGTAAGCGACAGGTCATTCCTACACGAAAAGGAGCGCCTGGCGGTAGCCGGAAAGTTCGACTGATAGTATGAAAGGGCCCATGTGGAACTCCACTTCTCGTCACGTAAAAATAGCCACGGTAAAGTAGGACCGGAAATCAACGCGTATTAAAACCTGCTCAGGTATTTTAGTCCCAGTTGAGGCATTAATTGAAGGTTTGCAAGCATTAAATGTAGATTCGAAAAATTCTATTTTGACGTATGCGAGCACCTAGTTCAGCAGCTTCTGCTGTCGACAACTTTGTTATGGTTCTAATTTTGAATTACCATTTATGACAAGCTAAGGAAAATGCAGTTGAAGCAAGGGAAATCGAAAGCAGCGGGATTTGCGTGCACTGCTAAGGCCTCAACACAATGATTTTAGCTGTGACTACGTAAGCATCTCAGCGTATATTCCACTTCTGTGCTCGAAAATGTCTTTTTTAAATTAGCACTCCATGAGTCGTACTTCAACCAAACAGCTATGACTGCGACATTACTCTTTGTACACAGAATAATTAATCGACTTCATCTTAACCTAATGGTCTGAAAACTATTCCTCATCCAATTTTCGATATAACAATAAACATGGGGATGATCATGACGTTCCATAATGAACAAGCTTACAGAGCGAACAGAATCATGAAACCCATAGTGAGGCAGAAAAGTCCCATAGCTTCGGAGAGGGCAAATCCGAGAATAGCATATGAGAACAGCTGTTGCTTCAATGATGGGTTTCTGGCGTATCCGATAACGAGGGCTCCAAATACGTTGCCAATACCAGCTCCAGAACCAGCAACACCGACGGTAGCCGCTCCAGCTCCGATGTATTTGGCAGCACTGTCAATGTCCCTACGAGCGACAGTGGTGTGGAGGCACCGCGCAGCCAGCGCACTCTCCGCACGAAGTGCAAGGGGTACTCGGCTAGCCTGAAAAGTTAAGTATCACTGATGCGATGAAAATGTAGTAAGGGGGGAGGGGGCGCTCTTTTGAATGATTGCAGTGAGAGAATGCGCCATGCTTCCAGTATGGTATATCTGCTACGCGGTCTCTCAGCGCCGCGACTTGGGATGTTTTCAAGAGCGTCACAACAAAGTAATGGCTCTGCTAATGCGATTTTTTTTTCGAAGGAGGATGAGGAGTGATAGGAAAATTATCGTGGAAGACCCAAGATGCACGCGCCAAACTGCGCAGCGAAATTTCCGACGATTCGAATGACTCTGGCCGCTATCATTAGAGCACAGACTTCACGTAGATCAGACTAGTAGTACCGGCTAACCCTACTAATCTACTCTACTTTAAGTTTGTGCCCCCATACTAGGCGCCAAAGTCGTACAAATCACCACGGATTCAACCGAGGAACTTGCATCGTGCATCTCCTGGCACACCAATGTTACGTCCCCCACACTCCTCCGAACTTATGACAAGGAGGAAAAAAACCCTGCCCGTTCTCACAATACTTCATTCGGATATAAGTCAAAAAGAAGAAACAGAAGGAAACCGCCTTGGCAGCGAAAAAAAAGAAGGGGGGATAAGAAGGAAAGAAGTGGGGAAAGGTCCCAATTTCCAAAAAAGCTGCTAATTACTGAGCGAACTGAAACTTTTACATGTGAAATAACGCAGGGCGTAGATCATGACTGTGCTTGAGAAGGTAAAATCCAACAGAATTTGATTTATTAGCTGACCACCAAGTAATGAAAAAAATGTATAAAAAAATTGAAAAATTTTTTGAACTCACAACAATAGAGCGAGCCAGGGGAACGGCGAGGCGCTGGCAGTACATTATTAACCTGAAATCAAAAAAATAGATCCGAAGCGATCAATAGAACGCCCATAAAACAATGTCTGTCGATCACATTCAGGCGAAAATCTTCCTCAAAAATAGAAGTGCTACCGTGAAGGAAAAATATCAAAACAATAATCAACAAAATCTACAGCTTTTATCAACAATATTAATGTTGCCATTACCGGCGAAAATAAATGTGTACTATACATACAACTCTGAAAAACCGGGCCCTTCTTAGTTAATACGAGGATTGGCACATTTTCATGATTTCAACTTACCTATGAGTAAGACAGTCACTTCAGTAAGAACAACCTAATCGAGCGTTCTGATCGATTTCAGAGAAATTAAAACAATACATGCACAAAATATATAATAACACATCGTCATAGCCATCACACATAACATCCGCTCCCACCAACATGACGGTAGTTACTCTGCCATGCCCTAGTTCCCAAGAAGGGTTGAGATCAAAAAGCATGAAAATCCAACAACACGGAAAACAACAGAGAGCCCTAACTTCCGAAATCGAGGAGGGAAAACGCCTACCCTCCAATGCAACCTGCCGTGGGCCGCCCGGGAAGAAACCTAGCGCAGTCTCTTTTCGAGCAGGTCCCGGGCAGATCGCGACTACTGTTGATAAGGTCGGACTGTGACGTCATGATGGCAGGTGGGGTGACATGCTATTATGCAAATTTGCTTCGCTTTAAATATTCGCTAATCGAAAGTCAACTCGTGTTTGATATCCTAGTACAGAGATGCAAATGCTATGTCATATGATACCGGAAGTTCGATAATTACGCACAGTTTGAATTTCTAGGGATTTCGTTCGTAACTTTTTTTCCACATCGAGGTCAAGAAGTCATTATATCTGTAGTCATTACATTTTTCACTAATTGTGATAGGTTTTTGTGATAAGAGCAATACCAAACTTTGTGAAGTTGTGAGCAGCTAGTAGTAATTTTTTTAAATTGCTCAATAGAATTTTTCGAAGGATTCCGTTAATTTGCTCAGCTAAAAAAGTGGACTGAAGCCGCACTTGAAAGATACACATAACGCTTGTTGGCGGGTCGATGTGAAGGTTATATTGAACCTGAATGTTTTAACTAGAAGATTTGTAAAGATACATGTGACGCCTCGCCACGCGGTGATCACAGGGGCAGTTCACCCATTTTCGAACAAGTTTTCAAAGAGTGTTCCCCCAGTGATGCTAGCGGCTCCGAATAATTAACTTTTCTGTTGAAGCGCACCCTAGCCCCTGAACTAGCCTGCTTATAGGGCAACTTTCAATACTCGACTAGATCTTCAAGGAAGCAGACTGACACAAACACTGCCCAGATGATCCAGAACGAAATGGATGGCTAAAGATAGCTCCCAAGTGAACAAGTCCCTAGATGTACTTCTGTGTCAGTTTTTGTCCCAACAAACAACAGGATTAATCTTAAAAGATGTTTAGTCGATTATTTTTTCTGTAGAGTGTTATTTTTATTTCACGTGAGCAAGAGTTCACAGCAAGTTTGTTTTTTCAGCGCCTTAATGTAAATATGCTGCTCAAACTCTTAGTCTAGCCTCCAAGTACGTCATCGAACTCTTTCTTATCTGAAATTCTGTGTGAGACTTCATCGTTTTGTTAACTGTTAATAATTCGCCGCAGTACGCGATCCGTAAGTCTTATAAGGTTGGCTAGTTATAGACAAAACTTCGGCCTCGGACGGGGCTCGAACCCCACTCGTGCCATCAGGGCACCGTACTCGTTAACACTTGCTTTACTGATACCATGCTTGCCCTCTCCTTCTGAACTGCTTTTATACCGTAGCTTATCAGCACTCACACGTTCAACGTGTAGAATCGGTCAGCCAATATCAGCGTTAAACCGTTGAGCTGTAAGCTTTACTTGATATAACTTGTTTTGACTTGATGTTTCGTTAATTACTGGTGCGCGATCCGAAAGTCTCCCGTCTCTTGGGGAGTTATGGACAAACCTTAGGCCTCGGACGGGACTCGAAGCCCTACCTGTCCTTGAGGGTTGAGGGTTCTAGTCCCATCCTGGGCCAAAGTTTGTCCATAACGTGCCAACTTTGTGATCCTTGAAGAGTGCTGAAGAAAGTGAGAGAGAAAGGCTTCAGGAGATTCTCTCTTCGGCTGTTTTGAGCCAACTTCATCAGAAGCAGTGCTTTCCGGCGAANAAGGTTGTCAACCGTTCGGATATCCAGAAATCGACTCATCGTTTGTAGCCATTAAAACACTGTAGCCAGTAACAAATTATTTAATTTGTTGGGGCTTCAGTCACGAGCGGTTGATTACGACAATAAAGGGTCCGTGAAAATTCTCAAATAGCTGTGACTGAAATTTCCACGATTATAATCGGTTATCACCGCAAACGACGAGCCAATTCCTAGATTCCTGTGTGTTGGCCCTGAAAAGCATTGCCTTTGATAAAGTTAGCTCGCAAGATGAACATTAATTTCAGGTCTAGATGACTAACCGTAGTCCATTAGAGGAAGAAACATATTTTTCTAAGCCAGAACACCTTTTCCCACACCTTGAAGATGGTAAAATTCCAACCGAACAATTCCTGAGTGCTTGTCAGGGAATCGCAGATTTCGTAGGTAAGAACATGAGTTTGACCAAGAGTGGGTTCATCCATGTGAGCTTTCAAGTATTCAGGCTTTCTGGGAGCTGCTTTTTCGCCGGTTAAAGCTGATATCAGTGGTAATGTTGCCAAAGTTCGTACACGATTCGAAAAGGACCGAATAGGTTGTTCGACTTTAATTTATATCTTTTCTGCAAGTTGTTATGGTAAGAATAGTTGTCAGGTCAACGCTATTTACAAGATCTGATTGATAACGATCTAAAGGACAACGGTGGAAGGCTCGGAATCGCCACAGAAGGACTTTTGTGGTTGAAAAGGCAGGTTAAGAAAACGTCTCTCCTTACTGTTTTTGAGAATAAAAGTATTTCCAGAGGGTTGGAGTTTATGCTAGAAATGCTGACTCTAATGGTACAAGAGTACAGATCTACGGCGGACAAAAGTAAGACGGAAAACCTTGTCGGAGTCATCAATAAGGCATACGAAAGTTCACTCAAAAGGCATCATGGTTTCATGTCTAAACAATTGTTCAAGGTAGGATTTCTTGTTTGCAACGAACATCGTGAAGAAGCGATTTTCTTTGATTTCAGCTAGTCATTCATGCTGCCCCTTATCGCCGAACTATACTCAAAGCTGTGGCTCTTGGGAAAGATGGCTTAGATGATGTGTGTATTGATCACATTGCTAGCCACTTGGACAATTTTAGAATCAATGTTGCTGTTCTAGTCGAGTACTACCTTACTAAAAAGCTTGAGACTCCTAATTGTTAACCTTTGATGTAAATATACCTCTCGCTCAATTCTTGTCTCAGTCTGCTAGATTATAGTGATCGGATCGTGATTGTCTGTGATTTTCTTGTCTACTATCGCCGTTCATATCTTATTGTTTTGTGGCCAATGTCTTAATTATTCGAATCTGATTTCACAGGTGCCAAAAAAATATTTATTTTATCTTTTGTTGATATTTTACATAAAGGTTGTGCCGCATGATATCACATAGCCTTTGCGATTGTAACTCACTTCTTAATTCATATCTAGATCAGCCTTTCAAGCGTTCGGTCTTCATCTGCGGAGTCATCAAATCTTGGCCTTTTCCTTGCAGAAGGTTCATGTGAGTGATGTCGTACGTATAATCGTTTACAACACCTTTTTAATGACTCTCCTCCTCCATCCCCGCTAGAACTTGAAGGTTCTTGCGGGTTAACTTGACAAGCCTAAATTAGGTTAATCGAAAAGTGGTCCTCCTCAGCTCATTGCGAAGTTATAAAAAGATGCCAAGAAAAAAGGCTCTTCCCTTCTATTTGTTAAATAATCTCGACACTTTTTCTTACGACTGGGTATAACTTCGGGAGCGTTCACTCACATAACTTTGGAAAGAAGATTGAAATTCGGTCATTTTAGCGTTAACACTGTTTTATCTTCGCAATAATTTTGCAGTGTAATACTTACGGTTGCTCCGTCCATTGACATCGAATCAAGTACACCTTCTAGAATTTCGTCCACTCCTTTTTGCGATACTGGACTAGTTAGCTGAATCGGTTACATTATTCATCTGTTCGTAGCAGTATCACAGCAAAGAATATTGGAAAACTAGGTTTTGTTGAACTACCCCCATTGGAGAATTGCGTTGATGGACTCGGTACAAAAAAATTATCTCCTCGCAAAAACGGTTTTTCCATGAATAGACAAGCTTTTTAAGTAGACCCAGATGAAGACGTGTCATATCTTCTTTCTTTCGATGCTTGAATCTACTGATGATTTTAGACCAAGAGCACTTCGCAGACAGTCAGTCAGCTTTGAAATCAAATAAAAAGCGACTATGCTAATTTTTCTATGGAAGCTTTGGAACAAAAATTTGTGATGACGTGAGAACGATCTCTATCACTTCGAGAACATCAACTCATTACCTGCGTACAGACTAGAACCAGCTGCCGTATGCAAGATTTGAGGGATATTATTTCAGCACTTTGTTTCCGAATAATTTTGTCTTGTTGAGCCAACTTGTCCATAACATTCTTGCGCCATTCACAGCTATCTACGTCCCTTAAAAAGGATGGTGAGTTGTAAACTTGCTGTCGGCTGTGAACGATTGCCCAACTATGGCACCAAGTATGTGTGGCTACCTCTTTCTATCCGTGAATGCTTAGGCAACCGTTTCATTTTAGCTCATTTTACCTCGATGATGACGGTGTTTGTATTGAAGGGCGTAGTAGTGGATGCACGGACATAAAGTACGCCGAAGTTAATGATCCTGATGTAGTAGTACTTAGCGAAGGCTGTACATGCTCCTCGAAGTGTTCCATGGCCATGCTGCAAAAGTAACACATTTTTGAAGATTAGTCCCTTTACAAAAACTATGTAACAGATTTTCACATGTGTGAAAGAATAAGAGCTCCTAGCGTGGTGTTATAAAAGATTTCCTAGACCGTGTTAACATTTCAAAAGTTGTTGCCTTCCTGGGTGAGAGCTTTTATACGACGCAACCGTAACACATAAAAAAAACGGTGTGCAGGAGATTCAAGCAAAATCGCCGAGCAAGGTCATTGAGAAGTTTTTGAGCTTTAGATTTTTGGTACCCTTATATTACCACAGTCATTTCAACTGACAGTAACCTACAGGATTGTCGATAATTTTTGTAAATCACTAGAAGCCCTTGAACTTGGGTTATCGCTGCCAACCTAAGCCTGATCATTGAGTACCTTGACAAGTCCCTCAAATCCTTCAGAAGCTCGTGAATGTCTATTGCCAATGTTCCGCCTTTATCGTGTGACTTCTTTAAAATGTCGATTATGCGGAAGAATTCATCGAGAACCTATAAAAGCAAGATTAGTTCTTTTTCAGAAAGAGCTTAAGTGTCTGATGAGCTAACAAAATTTTCTGACTAACCTTTCCCGGTATGAAACAAGTGACCTTCATATCAATGAACTTCCTATAGGTCATCGCCATAATAGAAAATCGAGTATCCAAGCCAGCATAGGCATCATTAAGACGTGAAAGTCGATGGGACCTATAGAATCACTGCTTCCCACATTTGAGATAGTACAGGTGATACTCATAACTTTTACAAACCTCCTCATAGACTCTCGTCTGGGCAGCTCCCGTTTGATTCTTAACTTTTCCCTATCTATGTCAACACCCAGTTGTTGGAAACCTCTGTTGAGTAAATAAGAACACAGCGTATTCAGCAATTTGCATGTCTGAAATGATAAGCAGAGAAAATTTCTGACAGGAAACGTAAAAAAGCGTGGATAGCAAAACAAGATGTAACTCACTCTCCTTATTTTAGCGATGTCATCGTACGATAAGTACTGTAAAATCGCCATCTGAAGTTCATTAGGTAAATGAATAAATCGTTTCGGGCCATCCTCGGATTCCTTGTCAGTGTTTGCTTCCGCCCCGTCACCATCTTCATTTGAGGCAGCGTGGTCTTCCTTATGCTCTTGAGAAGTTTGCGGTGCAGGAACACGTGTCCCCTGGTAAAAAGCTGTCTCTAACATTGAAAAAGTCACCGTTCACTTCTAGTTGTTGTGGTCAAACAAGATTTACCACTCACCGATTTGTGGTGTGAGAACTTTTTGAACAAATGCATGACCTCGATGGAAGGTGCTACGGTAAAATTTGTTGCGCACTTTCTAAATCACAGTTAATTTAATGTCTTCGAAAGAGTAAGTCTTATTCTAGCTCACAGTTATGGAATTTCTTTTAGGAAGTATGGTATTTCGGTTTCTACGAACGCTGCTTAATGACGAGAGAGTAATTCAACAGGTAGCGATATCAAGTACCTTTCCTTTGATTTTTTTCTATTCAAGAAAATACAGTGGGAATATCCGGGAAGAAGAACCAACTATTCCCTTTGTCTACCTGACCTTCGATGCACTATTCTAAATCGTCAAGTAATGTCAATGTTGATGTGCTGGTATGGGTGAGAATGCAACAGAAAAGGATTCTTCAGATTTAGTTTTGCTTGTTTTCATTTTTCCGAACATCTTTGGATAGCTCTTTATGAAAGTTTTGGGAAGGGGAAACCGACCCAGAAAAGCTTTTCAGTTCAATGCAGCCGGTATAAGCGCTATAGTGCTTAAATCATAAAAAAGCAGAGGAGACAGATCTTATATATGCATCCATATCTGACTGACAAAGCTATTTCAGCTCTCGGAATCCGCTCCTATTCGTGCACTCGCTCGTGCAGTGATACGAGGTGGAAAAACCGTACAGGACAAGCTCGGTCACACGGACGCTGCCTCGCGAATAGAAAAGTTCATGAAGCTTTACCAAGAAGAATATCAGAAAGCGCTGAAGAAGTAGCTCGAGTAACACATAGCAAATATGCAGTCCGAGAAAAGTATGGGTAGTAAATAAAGACTTTGGTGCTTTTATACGATATAACACAAATAAGGTATAGACATGAATCGGCCATCAGCTGCCCTATACATATATTGACCACGACATTAGTGATAAAATTTATTTTCATTCATTATGAATTTAACGTCAGTCTTTCCATCGATGAGCACAATCAACATTCGCGCAACGGTAGAATATGGTCATCGGTTCATCGGCTGATCGTGTTTGTATTTGCATGAAATACGCTCGGTCATTCGAACATTTTGGGCATCGCTCATTTGTCACCTGTAAAGGACAATTATAAGCAAGTACAAAAATAATTTTAACCCACTGCGTACTGTAGTATTTTTGTGCTGGCTGGCGCATGAGCCCAGCGCTTTCTTCATAATCCGCGCGGCGACGTGACTCGAGGCGTCAGCACGCCGCCACATAGAGCGGTTTTTTGAACGAGTCGCAAAATATGTGCTGTTCCTACTTTATTCAGTAAAACTCTCTTTATTCAGACTCAATGAGCCTGGACCAAAACGCGGGGCGTGTCCTTCACCCGGGAATTTCCCCCTCTGCTAAGGGGCGAGCTACACCATATGCAGCACGCAGAACGCAAAGAGTCAATATATTCCTTTGAAATCGATAAACTATCTTCTTGGATAACTCATGTACAGTACTAACGTAGCAGTAATGATTTCGATGAAATGGTTGCACCTTATATTGCAATTTTCCTTCCCTTATTCTTATCCCGTAGGACTGCTCATGAGTGCACTTCATGGTGCAGGAATTTGGCTCTGATTCTAAAGAGGTTACGTGACTACTTGAATTTTCCCTGCGTCCCTGAAAACGGAAGTTTAGAGCGCAGAGGGGGAAACTCCCGGGTGAAGGACACGGGATCGGCGGTGGAGGTCCCATTGGTCAGATGTCTTTGCTCGGTGCTTGGTAGTAAAGCAGTACAGCTAGAAGAGTACTCTATTATCAACCAGTTTACTTGTACAAACCCTTTAAACGATGCGTCGTATATGTGACGTTTAGAATGTGCGCCTTTAAATGAGGTTATTACGTGGATTGAAACTGTTGCTCGCCAAGTTTTGTATCCATTGCGTTTCATTTCAACATAAAGTCACCGTAAAAACGGGGTTCTCGTGTTATTCTTTTGTTCGTGTTGTGTTGTTTTTACTAGATTGAGTCGCTGCAGAGCAACAAGTGCGGAGAGAAAATAGACGCACTTCGCACAAGAAGCTGAACACCAAGTGTAAGCTGCACACAGATCACAAACGTAGTAAAAGCGAAAATCTATGAAGAATCGGGTTCCTACAGTAATGCGGCTGTGTGTCGACTCGAACGTCCGGTAGTAAAGTAGAGCTGCACAGCTATTTTACACCCCACCCGCCCAACCCGTGTCACCGCCGATACTTTTTTGATGCATCACACCTCACATAGTGATGGGACGAAGATGGATGTATTCCCTGAGGATAAGTCGTTAAATTAAATATACTCTCTGTGGATTTATGCGTCTATTGCATTTTATTCTCCAAAAATTTCCGTTCTTGTCCCAATATAAGCACGGTTTCGTTTATGATAGACGATCGCTTGAATTTCGCAGCCAGTTTGTCATTGGGTGCTTCACTGGCGTGCATTGTTTCCACTGAGAGACCGCTACTATGATTCTGACATCTTTGTCATCAGCATTTTGAGCTTTCTCTGTGAGCAAACGAACAAACGGCTGGAATCTTAGGAATGCGCAATGTTCATAAATGGCCATAAAAGTGGCTAGAAACAACCGAACTGCGGAAAAGAGCGGCCGCTGGAGTGGGTGTAAAAACATCAGCCGATGGTACATCTCACTTTTCAGCTTACTACGCTGTGATTCTTCCTCTCAACCACCAAATAATTTCGATTTTTTTCTGATGGAATAACCGATCACCACTCTTCACGAATATACACCTAAATAGTCGGGGCGCCCGCCGTACTTATTAACATTTTAACTACACTTGAACTTCATTTTTTTGTAGATTATAGGTCACCTTCGGTAGTCTCTGCACTTGAACACCAATGAGACGGAAAACACTTGACAGTCTTGAGGAATAGATGAAAAATGTCGATTTCGGAACAGCAAAGAAATGGCAATGATCACCGGTAAGCATGGCTAAGGGTCACGTCAGTGGCTATCGGGACTGCAATGACGGTATAATCGCGAACACTGCCTAAATACACAGCGTCCATCCTATTGCATGACTGCTGCATAGAAACTTTTAGCTATGTTATTATGAAAACGACATGGAGAAACTAAATAATCGCATTTTTCTCTGTTCCATAGATCCACCCATACCAGTAGCACCATATATTAGGGGTGTGCATTAACTCCCGCCGCCTAATTCGAAGGGTCGTTGCGCGGACTATTAGAGGTTTACCGGTGAAACCTGTTATACTCTGTAAGATAGCATATTGGCTACCTACTTGAGGGCAGACAGATAAGTTTTTCCCCAAAGTCCCATTGCTCTCAAACTGATTGATCACGGAACGTGATAAACCGTTTTCCCGGGGGCCCTTCTCCTGCTGTTTAATTTCAAGAAAACTGGCATTGAAGCCCACCGGATGCTTTT